GTTTTTCTGACCCCATCCGCCCCATGCAATTGTGCCACGCGCCTCAGCGATGCTTTGTCGACGAAGATCCTCTGCTTCACATCGTGAAAGCAGATGATGTTCAAACACACCTGAGGGCTGCGGTACATAGCAAATCTAGCAAGCAACGGAGGGGGGGGGGGGGGGGGGGGGGGGGGGGGAGAGAAGGTATGGAGGTTCTATGTAAGCAGGGAAGACATATCAAGTGAAACGAAGGGGTAGGGTGGTAGGTGAGGGCTCTGAGCGTATACGTAAAATCCGGGTTAGGTGCTAAACCAGCCCGTAAGGAAAACGGACTGGCCTCAAAGCCAGCCCTTGAATACTCGGAGCTGTGCCCGAACCAGCACTTGAATTCAAGGGTAAAACGGGCAAATGCCCTTGTAGCGACAGGCCTGGTGGGTACACCTTCAAGTCATCTTCTTCGGGTGCGTGCGGCAATCCCTTCAGAGGCCATCAGGGTCAGGGTCGTGCAGCACCAGAACACGTGGGTGAGGGAGATGCGGTATACACGGCCGGCCGTCAGGATGTTTTGGAATTTCCTGTGGCGAATGTGCTCGACGCGCAGTGGAACGAGATCGATCAACCTGTTCCGCTGCAGTCCGAAACCATACAAGCCGGATTGCACACTCCGTCTATTGGGTGTGCCAAGTCAAACTATATGTTTATTATTCATCTAGTCTGTAGGGGGCCTTGCCTTAGTGGGTAGACATACATTCTCGACACTCTCATATGCCACCCTTCCTTGACGTAATGCCATCCTCGTTTCCTATCTCGACGAACCTGTCCGGTCTGCCTGCGTGTCGCGAAACGTGCTGAGTTTGACGCCACAATCTATGCGTTGCAGTGGCGGAAAGCAGGTCATAGAGCAGGTTCTAGACAATCAGCACGTCCTTATGTGAGATGTCTATGCGGCTTCCTGGTGCTTTGAGCACGACGTGACTTGCGCGCTTGCGCGCCGGCGGGTGTTGCTGTCCACAATAACGAAGGTGTCCATTGGGGTTGTGATAGCGTTGTGGACAAAACGCTCGGACCCAACCATGTGCTCTCCGCAGCAGCTATCCAGGTACGAGGTGTTGAAGCGCTTGTGATCGTTACGTGCGAGCGACGCCAGACGCGGAAAGATGATGTGCGGTGTCTCTAAACTTCGAATGTTGCACGCGCGAGATCCAAGCGATCGGTGCCGCCCACATATCAGGTACGTGGGGTGGGCATTTCAGCATTTGGACAGGAAGGTTGCAGTACTGGGCGCCATCGTTGTTGAAGTCGTGGCGGATGCTGAGCAGATTAAGGTTCGTGAATGCATCGATTGGATAGCGTGCTGCCTCTGGTGCAGCGAGCGCGCGCGGCGGCGACGTGAATCACTTGTTGTGGCCATGTTCCCGATGGTGTGGCGAACTGGTGCAGGCGTTGCAGACGGCGGGTTCTGCTGGGGCGGAACCGCTGGGTTCAGGTTGCGCGATGGGGGTTGATAGTTGGGGGCTTTACGCCGTGTCATTTCGTGCGTCTTGTCGGCCGGACTAAGGGCTCGGACTGGTCTGGCGACGGCGAGATCGGTATTTAAACGATCAACCTAGCGCCCGAACTTTATGCAAACTTTGCAGTAAAGACGCCGCGGCAGTTGCTCCGCTGTGTTACTGGCGTAGAAGGCGAGGCATTCCCGGTCTCGTCGCGGCGCTGGTCGTAGCTGGTACCTCTCTCCCTGTTCGAAGATATAGGCGGCGCATATGGCGGCTTCCGAGATAACATCATGCTGTCGGAGAAGCGCATTGCAGGTCCACCACTCCGGGCCAAGCCATTGGAGCACGATATTCACGAAGATTTCTTCCGACGATGGTCTCCTACCTGAAGGCGCAGCAACTGCGACACATCCGTGAGAGTCCGTTCCTTGGGATTCAGCTTGACGAAAGCACCGACAGGCGGCGCGGGAAACATCTCATCGTGTACCTCACGTTTCTCAAGCATGGGGTTGTCGTCACATAGTTCTTCGCCAACTTGTCCGTCGACAAGTGTGACGCGGCGTCCCTCATGGCGGTCCTGCTGACTCACCTTGAAGGGAATGGAGTGGATCTCATGCGGTTTTCTGGCATTTCCACCGACGGTGCCTGCGTGATGACGGGCGGTAAAACCGGCTTGGTGGCGCGGCTGCGTACAAGAGTACCTCACTTGGTCTCATGTCATTGTATCGCGCACAGGTATGCGTTGTTTTACAACTTCCATCTTAACTGACGCATTTCAGTTGCAATATGATGTTCTGACTTTGCTGTTTTTTATTGGCAAGAACGCTTTAGCCGCGAAGGATGCAGCCACAGCTTTCCCGGCCTTCGGGATCATTGACAAAGTTGTACGTCAAGTCGCAGATCTCCTCGGCCGATCAGGCCCGAAGCACACACGATTCATGCAGTTGCAAGAGGTCGTATCAGACACCAACCTCGAGTTGCATGGAATTCATAGTGTCCGGTGGCTCTCCCGTGGAGACGCAATCGAACGATTCGCGGAGGTGCTCCCAGCAGCGGTCCTGCTCCTGTACGAGTACGAGAAGAAAACGTACGACATCGTCACTAGCTTCAAGTTTCGGTTTCTTCTATACTTCCTTGCGGATGTGTTGAAGGAGCTGAACATCCTCAACTTGAAGTTTCAGCGTCGTCAGATAGGGAGTGCTGAACAGTTCTTGTGATGTCATTCGTCCCACGCTTAAGACAGGTTGATCCTAGGATTTTTTAGCCTAAACCATTGTTGTTATTTGTCCCTCCCTAAAAACAGGTTGATGTGACGGTTGTACAACCGGCTCTTCTGCACGCTGTGAACACCCTCAACGGCCGTTACGTCGACTACATGGAGACTTTCGGAGACAACAGCGACAGACTGGCAAAGTTCCTGCAAGCTCATTCTAACGTAAAGAAGCGCGAAGTGGAAGTGGACGGGTGTTGATGCGGACGGAACGCCCACCACCCACAAGTATGTGCTGCACGAGAAGCACCTCAAGGGCCAGACCATCGGATCGGACCTGCAGGCGTGCATCAGACTCGCCACAGACTTTGCCACAGAAGTCGTCTCCAACCTCACCGAGCGGATGCAGGACCTTTCGGCCCTGAAAGGCGCGCGGCTGTTCCGTCAGAGTGCTTATCCTAGCTCGCGGGCGAAGCGCGAAAGCAGGTTTCCTCAGTGGCTTGAGTCTCTGAGAGATCTGTTCAAGAAAAAGCCGGGTGATCCCGACACACTTCCGGGTGAGTCAAAGAAGTGCCACGCGGTAATGTTGACACTAAACTACATTAAACCACGTCTAATATGTCTCCTTTGTGTCTGCCTCCTCCCTATCATTTGGATCAACAGGCATCCACTGGGGCATGGCTAAGGAGTTGTGGAGTTTCACCAGCATCATCGCTACCCACCATGAGGACCTCTCGTTCCACGACAGCTTGAAGCACATGCTTGCGAGCGACGACTGGACCGCAGCCTACCCAAACCTCGTCAGGCTGTGGATGGCAGTGGCCGTGCTCCCGCTCAGCACAGTTCAGTGCGAGCGGGGGTTTAGCCGGCAGAACGTTATCAAGAGTTGGATTCGCGGCAACCTTTGCGATGCAACTCTCGGGGAGCTGATGACGGTGTCGTTGCTTAATTACGAGCTGGAGCCGTAGGGGATCATGTCGGTGTGGCACGGGAGCAAGAAGCGCCGGCCAGCTAAGGAGGTCGTGATGGCACAGGCGGGGCGCTCTGTGAAGCGAGCAAAGCGTGCAACAGAGGCGGCTCAAGAAGCAGCAGCCGCAGCATCGAAAGCAGCAGCAGCCGCAGCCTCAAGTGCTGCGCGTGAAGCAGAGGCGGCAGCGGCGAGGGAGAGAGAAAAAGTAGCTGCCGAGGAGGCACTCATCCCCGCGTGGAGGAGGAAGAAGCGTCAGATAGTCGTAGCATCAGAGGATGATGACGAGGATTCTTGCTCTGTTAGTTCTAGTGAATCTGATAGCGAGACTCAATAGGTTAGCTAACTTCTAACGTTAATGTTAGCTACAGACTAGTATTTAAACATTGTCTGAATCGACAGACATTTCAAACCACTTTCATCTGAAAGGTCAGACAGCGCTAACAAATTCGTCTGATGGTCAGACTAAGGCCAGAACTTCTGTCTGATTCTAAGACAGCCTTTTTTACTAGCGACGTCCCTGGTCGCGGCCTGCACAAAGTTGCACGAATCGCGACGTGATGTACGATTTCAGATTGTTGACGCGCATTCCATCTTACGCACTCTGCATGTAGCTATATATTGCACTACACGATCGTTATCTTTCATCAATATGTTAGGTGTTCACGAATTGTAAATGTAAATATCAAGCTAAAAATAATTACTTAACTAAACGTAGGCTTATAGTATCTCCAAATATATTAAATTTACAGTAGTAATTACTATAATCTATTTTTTCGAATGCTTTACATAATTATATTTGATGAGATTAATTGAACCCTAATCATCCGTTAAAAACTCAAAAGTTGTGACAATTACACTATTTTGCGTATTATTATGAAACAGAGTAGAAACAACTGTACATTTTTTCAAACCATGCTGTGGTGCACAGTTTCGAAACAAGGCTGATAGGCTAGGGAGGTTCGGATTGGCCAACTCAAAAACCTGCCGCGATGTAACTTCGAACTCATCCCACCCTAGTTCCGAAAGTTGGCAGAATCTACGTGAGAGTTACTAGTCTAACTACTGAACCTACTAGAAACATACTCCCATCCACCCGCACAGAAAGTTAACTTTCCCAAACATACTGCACACCCCAACCCATTTTTGGGATGATGAGACCTGGCAGGGCCTAGGCGGTCGGGTGAGATACTATCGAGAGTACCTAAGGACACTGCCAAAAGACCGAATTGTGATTGTAACAGATGCTGATGACGTCCTGCTGCTGCCAAACAGAAAACTATGCGGACCAGATTCGCTAATCAAAGCGTTTCTGTCTCTTAACGCTCCTATCGTTTTCGGAGCTGAGATGTTCGCATATCCAACAGGTGATGTCATCCCCTTCTACCCTCAGAAGCTGAGATCTCCTTTTCCAAACCGACACGTCAACGCAGGGTCCTATGTTGGGTATGCATGGGCTCTCGGCGAAATGATGGATGCAACATACACGAGTGACTGTATGGAGGATCAGCGGCAATTTGTGGCGGCGTATTTGGCCCAGCCGTTCCTGTTCAACTCCCTCCCACGCACGCCGTACCCTGATCCAGTAACAGACAGCCACGGAGCAACCAAACCAGCCACCAAAGACTCTGAACCGTCTTTATCCTCATCTGCTACTCCTCTGCCCGGCACGCTACGGTATTTCTGCTCTCTTCCTGGTCCGGTGCAGGCCCTGATTCCTCAAAACGTCACCCCGGCAGGACTAGAGGGAGCCAGAAAGGCAGCGCCTCCACCGTTTATTAAGCTGGACCACTACAACGCTCTGATAGAGCTGCTGGGAGGGCGGAGGTCGGAACAATATGAGGTGCAAGGGACTGGAGTGGAGATCAAGGTGTATTCCAAGGTGACGAAGGCGTACCCGTGTGTTTTTCACCAGTCGGGGGATAAGACGACGAGTAGGGTGGTGTATGAGATAGTGGGGAATGGGACCTTGGATGGTATTGCCTTTGAAGGGATGGATTTACTGTAGTCATGGTAGTTTTTATTGGGTGACAATCCACTTTGTGTTTTCCCATGTAACAATTCCTAGGATCTTCGAAGAATACAAGTGTACCGCATAGAGAATTTGAGCAATGACAAAACTTGTGTACCGTATAGAGAAAATGAGCAATGAACAGCAAAATAAAATTTCTCTGGTTCTGTTGGCTTGCAGGTTTGGTCTAATACTGTTTTGGCGAGCTCGTTCTTATGCAAAACTTATTTCAGCTTTTCTCGATTCAAACGTTTTGGGGATAAATCCAAACTATGTTACATGCCATCCTGGATATGGGATTATTTCCATTTCCCCTCCTCTCTTGCCTCATACACCCCACCTTCGGTTCCCCCATCTTCCCTAGTCTTATAGTGTTGTGTGATGCAATCATATGCATTCACGTCTGTCTGCCTCCCATCATGTGTTCGTGCGTTGCATGCGTGGTATGAGCGTATGCAAGAATTTGTGTTTTCTGCGGTTTGGATTTTTTGAGTGTGTGTGAATGTTATTTGGCTTGATCAGGTGTCTGAAGTGACTCATCTGCTCAAGAGCTTTGCGACAAGCCAAGGATTGCTTCAATCGGAGCACGAACAAGAAAGTTACGAACTTTCGAAGTTCGTATGCATTTCGTGTTTGATTGTGGTGACTATGGGAAATTGTGGGGTTGACTCAACATGGGGTACAGACTTGTGGGGGTTGGGAAATTCGTACCCATCACTGTAGATGCTGCCAAGTGGTTGGGAGAAACCAAACCAGGTTGGCAAGTGTGGCCAAGTTGGATTGAGGTGGATTGTGGAGGTTGGGATAGTGACAAATGTCAAAGTTGGGTTGCCTATGGGGAAGGGAATTGTGTGGCATGGAGTTTCCTTTGGTTGGGGACTCCTTGGGACCCTCCCTCTCGTCCTCCTCTTCCCTCCTACCTGGTTTAGTGCTGCTCTAACATTCTTGTGTGGTAATCTTGTGAGAACTTGGTGATTAATTTAAGATTCCTTTCGCAGCATAACCCCCAGTGCGCCAAAATCGATAACTCGATATTTACTTCACCTTTTAATACGATTCAACTTGGGAAATGTAGCTACGGTCTAGCGCTACAACATATTTGAAATTGGTGAAGTTTTGACTGTGCGTTTTTCGTTGACGACGTTTCTTGTGAGCGCGACGATTCTGTCCAGAAATTGAGACCAACGATCTTGTGATATTTCGGCTCCTAATCTTCATAGACTCCGTCCTTAGTCTCTATCATATAGTGCCCCCATGCCCCCTGTGCTGCTGACCCTCCCTTACCTACTTTTACAGAGCAGGTCGGCAAGCATGTCTACTAACGTGGGTGACACTTTTCGTGAAGCTACCTTAACGTTTCCTCTGCATCCCGTTGGCTTGTTACTGTGTCTGGCTGACTCAGATGCAGGCAGCTAATTATCTCATTCAATGTATTCACTAACTTACCCACTCACTCTTCTGTGATTCTTTCCCTTTCGTCACCAATTTCTTCTCCTCTTGCTTTACCCGTCCCTCTCTCTGCCCTCGCCCATCTCCACTCCACCAACCTCCTTGTTTCTCCTTTTCCCCCTCGCTGCCCACTTCCCTCCTATCTCTCATCCCTCTCCTCCTCACCAGCACTCCTCTCATCGGCATGGGCGAGTGGTTGCAGAGCCAGCTTTCCCCTGTGTCATCGCCAATGCGCTTCTTTCTGTATTATCCTCTCACCCCACTCGTCTTCCTTTCCCCACACTTCGTTTTCATCTTCTACTTTCCCCTCTCTCCCTCCTCCCCTTTCCATCAGCCTCTCCAGCCATTCGCAGCGCAACATCTGTCATCGGCACGGATGAGTGGTTGGATGATACGATCACATGCCATGTGATCGGGCTGCGCCTCGTCAGCACCACTCCCACCCTCCCCGCCTCACACTCAAGCACCCACACTCAATCTCGCAGTCGAGAAGCAGCAGGGAAGACAAGAGCAAAGAATGCAGGAGGAGCAGCAGCAGGAGCACATGCAGTAGAAACAGACAAAGGCGGTGGTGCAACCGAGACAGGAAAATCTGCAGCAGCAGAAACATCGGAAGCAGGTCCAGCAGAATCGCGAATCACAAAAGGCACACCTGAAGAAACACCTGGAAAATCACCTGAAGAAAATCCTGAGAAGATATCAGATCGGCCAGCTTCCCCTCTCTCATCCTCCTCCCCCTCCACTCCCTCCTCTCCCCCCCCACCTCCCTCTGCCCTCACGCTCCTCTGGCCAATCATAGTGCACCCCCATTTCAAGGCCTCCAATGTGCACGTTCTCGTGCTCCCATTGGTGGCGCCCTGCCACATGGAAGCGTATGAGAGGCTGTGCTTGTGCTGGCAGCGCACCTGTGGGGGAGGGGCGGGGTTGGCGCACGGGGGTGGGAGCTGGGGAGGGGGAGGGGGAGTGGGGGCAGCAGGGGGAGGCGCGGGTGGTTTGGGGGGCGCCAGTATTGGTGGTTCCAATGGAGCCACGCTGTCTGCTCTGCATGCGAACCTGCCCGCTGTTACAGCGTGAGTGATTGCATTGCAATCTGAAAGTCATGCCAAGCCAAGCCTTGCCAGTGAAGTGGGAGGGGGAGGGGGGACAGCAGGGGGAGGGGTGGGTGGTACTGATGCTTTCCGACCTGCCTGCACTGCTTGCCGACCTGCCAGCAATGCTTGACGACCTGCCTGCACTGCTTGCCGACCCGCCTGCTCTGACAGCGTGAGTGAGATCAAGAGCCATCTCTGACACTGCAAGCCTCTTTCTCTCGCATTCCCCGTCCCCTGTCCCTTCCTTTCCTTTCCTCAGAGCCATCTCTCCTGCTCAATGTGTTGAGTTCCTTTTCTGACTGCTATCTGCCGCTTCTCTGCCTGCGTCCTTCCCCCTCCCCCTCCTCTCTCCCTCTCCCATTTGAGGGCCGTCTCGCTCGCTCAGTGCATCGATTCTCTCATCTCAACCGACTCTACCGTCACTCCCACGGCTCCCCCTCGCACCTCCCCTCTCCACCCCCTCCGCCCCCTTTTCAGCCCTCCCCTCCATCTCCCTCACTGGGGGAGGAGGAGGAGGATGTGGGGGAGGAGGGATGGGAGGGGTGGGCGCTGGTGCGAAGGCTGGTTCTTTGGGCTCTAGCACCATTAGCAGCAGTACCAGTAGTGCTGCTGCTGCTGCTGCCGCTGCTGCTGCTGCTGCCGCTGCTGCTGCTACTGAGGGGAAATGGGGAGTGGAAGAGGGGGAGGGGCAGGGGGAAAGGGAGGGGCAGCAGCAGGAGGGAGCGGCTTAGGGTTTGGATTGCTAGGGGCGATGGGGGCCAGTATGGGCATATCCCGAACCAAGACCGCCCGAATCAGCCAGCTTGGTTCGGCTGTAGGCTTGGGCGGAGGCTCGGGAGGAGGGGATGTGGGGAGGCAGGGTGGGGGTGTAGGGGATGGCGTGATGCTCCAGCTGCTAAAAGCGGCTGAGCTGGAGGGTATCAAACTGCTCATCTCAACGTATCTCCCCTTTGGTGAGAATGCATTTCACTTGTCCTAGCTCGCACATTGAAGGCTTTGAAACGATGGAGGAAAGAGGGCCGGGGTGGTGCTGCCGCAACTGAATTGGAGGGGATTAGACTGCTCGTTTCAACGTATCTCCCCTTCGGTAGGAGATGCGTCTTCTGCTGGTTCTGAATACCAAAGCCCTTGAGACGAGGGTTGGGAAGTGGAAGGGACAGTGTGGGCAGCTATTCAGGGCAATTCTCCATGTAAATCAAACCCCAATTTCTTCTCTTTCCCTATCCCTCCACCCCCAGTCCCAAATAAAACATGGCCTTGCTTGCCTGCGAGTCAACCTGTCGACTTCCCCACACCTGCCACCATCACCACGCTTCGCACCCAACCAGCTACCTACTCTCAAGAACTCTCACCCTACCTTCACCCGCCTGTTCGCGCTGGTCGCACTAGTTGTCGTGTCCCGCGTCCACGTCCTCCTCCTGTCCCCGGCACTCACCTGATGACGCTTCGTCGTTCCTCTATTCTGCTGTGAGTTCCCCTGCCGTCTCCTCCTGCGTCCTCCCTTCCTGACAGTCCGGACCCTGAGTCTGACTTGGTTCGTGCTGCTAGTCCTACTGTCACACGTCTTCTAACCACTGTTGTCACTGACCTTTCATTTGAGTCTACTGTTGCGTCTACCCTTGTTACTGAGCTTGTTGACTTTGCTGCCGCCTGTCGTCTTGACTACACCGCTAGTCTTGTTGCTGAGTCTGAGTCTGACTGTCCTCCGTCCGTCGCGGGTGAGTGTGCTCTTAGCACGGACGTCCTTGAGGACAGGCAGGAGGACTTTGTGTGTCTTGCAGCTGCTGTACATTATCTCGTGTCCATGCAGCTTGCACCAGAGGGAGACCCGGATGCACAAGGCACCCCGACCCCGCGCTCTTACGCAGAGGCGATTACGGGTCCCTACTCCTCTCAGTGGCAGACAGCCATGGATGCAGAAATGGCATCCTGGAAGTCGCACTTACGTCGACGCAATTCCCCCTCCTGGGGCAAACATAGTCGATGGCATGTGAATTTTCAGGGTGAAGCGGCCGTCGGGTTCTCCGCCTGTCTTCAAGGCTTGTTACATTGCACTAGGCTTTAGTCAGTGACAGGGAGTTGACTTCTTCCAGACCTTCTTCCCTACCTCGAGAATGACCACTCTTCAGATGCTGCTGCACGTCGCCGCTCAGCGTGACTACGAGCTTCACTCCCTTGACTTCAGCACAGCTTTCTTACAGGGCAGCTTGCATGAGGAGACCTGGCGGCGCCGCCCACCTGGCTTCACTGGGTCGTTTCCTGCAGGTACCTAGTGGAGCCTCCGGCGACCAGTCTACGGTCTCCACTAGGCGCCTCGCGAGTGGCACGACACACTGAAGACGACACTTGCAGCTCTTGGGTTTGCTCCTTCGACCGCTGACCCGTCGCTGTTTCTGCGGACCACGGTTCTACGTCCTCGTGTACGTCGACGACTTGGTTTTTGCCACTGCTGACTCTGAGGCACTGGCCCTAGTGAAGTCGGAGCTGCAGAAGAGACACACGTGCATAGACTTGGGTGAGCTGCGCAGCTATCTTGGCTTGCAGATCATCCGGGACAGAGCACGGCGCACCATCACCTTGACTCAGTCACACATGGTGAACCAGGTCCTTCAGCGCTTCCGCTTCCAGTACTCCTCGCCACAGTCCACTCCTCTGCCTACCGGTCACTCGCTCTCAGCTCCACCTTCGGACAAGTCGGTAGAGCCGAGTGGCTCGTATCCAGAGCTTGTGGGCTGCCTCATGTACCTGATGACCTGCACTCGACCTGACCTTGCCTACCCTCTTAGCATCCTGGCACACTACGTTGCGCCTGGGAGACATCGACCAGAGCACTGGGAGGCCGCTAAGAGGGTGTTGCGCTACTTGTGCAGTACGTCGGGCATGGGGCTCGTGCTTGGAGGACGGGCTCGAGTTGTTCTTACTGGCCACGCAGACGCGTCTTGGGTTGACGACTTGGCTACGCAGCGGTCGTCACAGGGTTACACCTTCAACCTTGGCTCTGGTTCTTTTTCTTGACGGTCTACCCGCTCGACTTCTGTTGTCAGTTCCAGTTGTGAGGCTGAGATCTACGCAGGGGCCATGGCTGCACAGGAGTTAAGCTGGCTCACCAACCTGCTGACCGACTTGGGAGAGCGGCCTAGTTCTCCTCCAGTTCTGTACGTAGACAACAAGGCCATGATTGCCTTGTGTCAGGAGCATAGACTGGAGCACAGGACGAAGCACATCGGTTTGCGTTACTTCCTTGCTCGAGAGTTGCAGCAGCGTGGTTAGCTTCATCTTCCTTACGTGGCCACTCGGGCCAACACTGCTAATATATTCACCAAGGCACTTCAGCCTGGTGATCACCAGCGTTTCTGTACTATTTTAGGCCTTGTGCCTACTTTGCATCACTTGCTCACTTCGTGACTTTGCTTGTACTGTGATCTATATACTTATCATGCATGCTTACACCTTCTAGGTTGTGATAATTGTGCTGCTTGTTCCCATTTATATAACTCTGCATGTGAACTGGCCTTGTGGCCATTTAGTTATGCTCAGAATGTGTGGTGACTTGGTGATCCACCCTGAGCTTGCCTTGCTTTTCTTGACTGGTCTTGTGACCTCTTGTTCTCCCCCACTTTGCCTATGGGGGTGTGTCAAACTATTATAATGTATAGGTTGTGTAGGCTGTAGTTGGGTAGCCCATAAGGGGTACAACCCAATTAGGGTCAGTACTTGTACCAACTTCCTACTCAATGCATTCATTCCTTCGTCCAGATTCTGACAGAACGCCTGAGATTTCTCTGCATCTGACCCTCAAGCTGAGCCTTTTGGGGAGCCTGGCTGTTTCTTCCTGCCCAGACGTTTTACGCATTTCGTGGGTTTTGATAATATTATCGTTTTGAAGACGCTGATGCTGCGGAAGCTGTCTCTCTCAGACCTCCCTGGCTCCTGTGTTTGGCTTTCTGCCCTGAACACGCTAGTGTTTGAACATCGAGCGCCCCAAAAGAACCTTGAGCGTCCCGAATAATTCGAAATTTTGGGTGCTTTGAAGTCGCTGGTGCTGCAGCTGTCTCTCTCAACCTCCCTGACTCCTTGAGAGTCACTTTTGAGTATTCTCAAAAGTGCCTTCCTGACTTCATGTGGTGGGAGCGGATGTGAGGAGGCACGGTGTACAGGGGCAGGGGAGTTGAGAGGGCGGGAGGGGCGGAAAAGCTTTTCGAGTCGACTCAAAGAGCGGATGTAAGGAGGTACGGTGACGTGGGGCAGGGGAATTGAGAGAGCAAAGGGAGGGCCGGCAAAGGGCTGCGGCTGGGCCAGCGGAGGGCAAGAAAAAGGGGTGGGCGGAGTGGTACGAGAGGGTCGAGGAGGGGGGGGGGGGGGGGGGGGGGAGCAGGGGCAGAGAGAGAAGGGACGAAACGGAGGCAGCAGAGGGGAGAACTTAAAGGCACAGAGCGTGAAGAGACAGTCGAGGGGAGGGGGGGAAAGAGCAGGGAAGAGACGAAACGGAGGCAGCAGAGGTGAGAAACCAGAGGCACATTTGAGTCGACTCAAAAGTCACCTCGTTTTTAGTCAACTCAAAAAAGCAGGGAAGGGACGAAACGGAGGCAGCAGGGGGGAGAAACCAGAGGCACGGATGGGCGGCAAGGGCCGTGGTGTGGGAAGCAGTGGGGGTGAGGAGCAAGGTGGAACAGGGGGCAAGGGGGGCAGAACGGGATGGAGGTGTGGACGGGCGGGAGGAGGGTAGGGGTGGGGGAAGCACGCAGCAGGGAAGTGGGGAGGGAGGAGAGGGTGGGGAGAAACGGGGATTCTGATTGTAGCAAGAGGGCAGCAGGAGGTGGAGAGGAGAGGGCAGCGAGAGGAAACCAAAGGGCAGGGAGGGGAGAAACGGAAGGCATTGCCGGGAAATAATGGGGGCAGGGAGGGAAGAAACTGAGAACACTGCGGGGAGAAACGAGGGGCACAGAGGGGAGAGGTTGCGCGTTGTGGGGTCGAAATCAGGGGCAGGGAGGGGAGAAAGGGGAGGCAGGGAGGGGAGAAGCTAAGCGTACAGAAACTGTTGCTGCACTCGCTGCCTCTCTCCCATCTCCCTGACTCCATCGGCCAACTCACTCCCCTGAAAACTATAGGGCTTTACCACCTGCCTCCCGCCTCCCAGACTCCCTCTTCCGGCTTTCTGGCCTAAAATCACTGGTGCTGCACTCCTCAGCATGAACACCATGTGTGGTCTAACACAATAAGTTTTCAGAGCAACCAGTTTCAGGCACACATTGTACTGGGCAAGGTGACCACACTTAGGCACGTACAATCAGCTAGTAACAGCACATGCAACAGAGAAGCTATTCAACTGCAAGTCAGCAGCTCATTCAAATGCCATTGCATCCAGGGTCCCATTCTCCACTATCTCATTCACCACCCCTCTCTTCAGCTTATTCCCTGACTGGTGAAAAACGCACGGGTAAGCTTGAGTCACCTTAGAATACACCTTGGTCTCCGTTCCCGATCCCTGCACTTCGTACTGTTCGAGTCGCCGCCCTCCCAGCAGCTCCATCAGAGCGTTGTAGTGGTCCAGCTTGATGAACGGCGGCGGCGCTGCCTGCCTGGCCGCCTCTAGCTTCTCCGGAGTGACATCCTCTGGGATCAGATCTTGTAACGGACTGGGTAGGGCACAGAGGTATTTCAGAGTGCCAGGAGCAGGTGCGAGGGGGGAGGAGGCGATTTGTAATTTCCTGTTTGCATGGCGGGTTGCTTCAATTGTAGTTGCCAGCTCTGTTTGTTGGGAAAGAAGTGACTGTATCGAACTGAAATTCGTTTCAGGGTAAGGCGTCCGTGGGAGGGAGTTGAAGAGATATGGTTGGGCCAAGTAACCAGTGACGAACTGTCGCTGGTCCTCCATACAGTCACTCGTGTACGTCGCGTCGATCATTTCCGACAACGCCCACGCGTACCCGACATAAGTCCCTGCGTTGAGGTGCCGATTTGGAAAAGGAGACCCCAGCTTGTGCGGGTAAAACGGAATCGCTTGGGCTGTCGGATACGCAAAGAATTCTGCTCCAAAAACGACAGGGGCATTTAGCGAAAGGAATGCTTTGACGAGCTGATCTGGTCCGCAGAGCTCACGGTTGGGCAGGAACAATACGTCATCCGCATCTGTTACAATCACAATTCGATCACGCGGTAGAGTCTCTAAGTACTCCCGATAGTACCTCACACGCGCGCCGAGGCCCTTCCACGTCTCATTCAGACCAAGCACTGCAAACGGAACTCCCACCATGTCGCAGAACTTAGCTAAGCGTTGAACGCCTTTCCCACACCGGGTGGAGAAAGTTATCCATTCAATCTGGCAGCCCGAGTGGGTGAATGAAGAGGTGGGCTTTATATCGCGAGGGTCAACGTCGGAATCATACATGACTCGGCAACCGTCTCTTTCCGATTTGTTTGCTCCTACCTTGGTTTCCACTTGGCTGCTGCTGCCGCTGGTGCTGCTGCGGTGCTGGTAATGGATTCTGTTTCCCTTATCGAAGCCTGATTTCCCGCGTATGGCTGCTGCGTTCACCAAATCGGAGCACGCAATTCCGCGGAAAAACGGCATGCTGTGCATTCCCTTATACGCGAGGCCAACGCCCACACACGAGTCAAAGGAATCGCGAAAGGCTGCGACACCGGGACTCGCGCCGGACGAAAATTTGTACACCCACACTAACAGCATCCCGAACGCCATAGTCGCCAGAAATGACACCTGGAAGGCTCTCTTCGCGACGAACCAGAGCGACGACAGCCAGGAAACGTCTAGAGGCAAGTCATGGTCTATCACGAACAATTTACTAAGACTTGGAAAGGAGATTCGGCCTGGTGCCGCGCTTCGTCGTCCAGTTCGGCTAAACACTGCACTCGCCATTTCTCTCACACAATCTCCATTCACAGGCTGAAGTTCTCTTATAGTTACTATGCTGGGAGGATTCTTACAGGTATCCTATAGCGTGTGCACATGCAATGCGGCTAATCTGTTGTCGGGCTAGAAAGACTTTCAGTGAAGCCTCTGGGCTCATCCGTCTACCGAAAGACTTCACTGAAACGCCAGAGTCCGGCGGAAAAATCGGCAGGCCGTCTGCGATTTTCAGCGAAGCCTCTAGACCTAAAGTTTTGGCGATTAGGGCGAGGAACCGCCGCAGCAACCCGAGCTAGTAACCACGGCCACGATCGCCGGGATTTCGGTTTAGGGTTGCTGCAAAACTTCCACGCTCTTACTCCTAGTTTTTTCTACCGCGGAATAATAGATTATCATAACTCGCGGACGGTTGAGTCTCTCAAGTCAGCTTGACGCTCATGGGATTACAGACCTAGGGTGACCACGGATTGATCTAGTCTAGAGCTAGGTCTGGGTGTGAGCCCCAGCTGCATCGTACACACTGCAGAGGCCAGCCAGAGGCACCGCCGCGATTAGGGTGGCGGCGGAATGGATGAGTTTCAGAGGGCTGTGGTTGCCAAGCGCGAAGTAGTTTTTTTGGTGGGAGGATGGCGAGGTAAGGGCGCGTCAAGTCGCGCGACATTCAAAATTTGGATTCCGGTCGGGCCGTTTTGACGAAAGTAACAAATTTGCGTCGCTCGCAAGATATTTGGCGACTGTCGCAGTTTTCGCGAATTTGATGGCCGATTTGAAACGACGCCGAGTCGACTGCAAACCGGCCACGATTCCAGCGCGTCGGTGCGACAGAGATCTGGCACGTCGCATACAGTTACCAGCGATTGAAGGTGAGACACATGTACAAAGTTCACGCGTAGACGCCGTCGCACGAACCCGGTTGGGCGACTGCAATTTTTTTCCAGTTTCGGTATTGCGGCCTGCAATTTGGCCAGCAAACCTGTCAAATTTGCAGTTCTTGCAAAAGCAGGCCGACTCCGTGTCGTCATGAAGTCGACCAGCGTTTTTCGCGAAATCAATGTTGACCATGGTCGACGAAATAGCGGCCAAAATCCAATTTCGCAAATACGGGGGGAACTGACGCGCCCTAACAGCAACTGTCAGAAGTGCCTTGTTCGTTGGAGTCAACCAAGTAGCCTAGTGACATCATTCAACGGATGCAGAAGGTACATTTGTATTCAGTAGTGTACAGACATTCATGAGCCACTATCCTCTGTTGATCGTTTTCGAGAGTTTGGAACAGCCCCCGGGGTAGCATACACGAGGGATAGGGTAGAACCTTCAAACCCTACTGCATCGTCGAATGACTTGGCTGGGCTACTCTGGTTGACTCCAACGAACTAAGAATTTCCGACTCAGCATTTTCTCTCGCCCCATTTTGCTAACTAGCTTTCGGGTTACGGCACTAGAACACGAGTCGCGACTTGCCAATCTAACCAGATAGCATCACCGTCCTTTCCGCCGCCTCCCTATTCGTGAGGCTCTGGCTCGGTCATTATACAAACAGACTGTATACAGTATGTTCGACGCACGCCGATGTCCCTATCGTGTCGTGATTCACGCAGCTGCAACCAAGGTCACGTAAGGCCGTTAGTAACGGCCCATCCGCCATGAACGTTTATAGTTGACTTGAAAGACTCATCCGTGAGTTGCGAAAATGTCGTTCCGTGGCGGAATTTTCAATCGCCAAAACTTTAGGTCTGGAGGCTTCACTGAGAATCGCAGACGGCCTGGTGATATATTTTCCTCTGCCCTTCGAAATAAGATCCCCTACCGTGTGACACGATTCTGGCAGAATTGTCGGCTCTAAGTCTTGCGGTTCAAACCCAAAACGACTCTTCTGTCGAAGCAACGTTTTGTTTTATACGTTACATAACCTACCTCTGACGCCTAGTTGTCGGTGCGACCGACAATATCATGTTGTCAGCAAGAACACCCTCCGTCCCGAGTGTGTGCAACTCAACTCCCCCGCAGCCGATTATCGTGGCGGTGCCTTGCCACCAACCCGGACCGCCCATCAAAGGGTTCCCCAGGCATGAGCTGGCTCGCGGCGCTAAAAACCCGGGCAATCCGAATGGGGTATTTCATGGCCGTTTTTCGATATCAGGCCAGGGATTACTCGTATTAACCTAAGTTCAATTCTCTTGTTTTCTAGTGCCACAATGTCTGCCAGGCTCAGTCTACCCTCCCGCTCGCGGATTCTGTCTCTATTGTGTTGTGTAGCAAAGGGAGCCTCAGTCATAACTGTCACCGCTGCCGCCTCGTTAGCGCTGCTGATGCTCTGGCTGTATCATTTCTCCTCCCGCGTGAGCCCAGATGTGGTGGCAGTTCGAGATTACTTAGACTCGTGTGTCGGCGTGGGTGTTGCGTATCGTGGCATTCACACAGGCACGTCCTTTTTCCGCGGTATTGCATGCTCCGACGTGGTGAACGCTGCTGCTGTTCGCGGCAAAGCAGGCTTTGAAAGCGGAAACAGAACTCGGTACCAACGCATGATGCAGCAGCAGGGTGGTTATGACAGCAGCAGCAGCGGCAGCTGCAGCAGCAGCAGCAGCAGCGGCAGCAGCAGCAGCAGCAGCAGCAGCAGCAGCAGCAGCAGCAGCGGCAGCAGCAGCAGCACCCCCAACAACAGCAGCAGCAGCAACCCCAACGGACGAGTGGTTGGGTGATACGATCACATGCCATGTGATCGGGCTGCGCCTCGTCAGCACCACTCCCACCCTCCCCGCCTCACACTCAAGCACCCACACTCAATCTCGCAGTCGAGCAGCAGCAGGGAAGACAAGAGCAAAGAATGCAGGAGGAGCAGCAGCAGGAGCACATGCAGTAGAAACAGAAAAAGGCAGTGGTGCAACCGAGACAGGAAAATCTGCAGCAGCAGAAACATCAGAAGCAGTTCCAGCAGAATCGCGAATCACAAAAGGCACACCTGAAGAAATACCTGGAAAATCACCTGAAGAAAATCCTGAGAAAATATCAGATCGGCCAGCTTCCCCTCTCTCATCCTCCTCCCCCTCCACTCCCTCCTCTCCCCCCCCACCTCCCTCTTCCCTCACGCTCCTCTGGCCAATCATAGTGCACCCCCATTTCAAGGCCTCCAATGTGCACGTTCTCGTGCTCCCATTGGTGGCGTCCTGCCACGTGGAAGCGTATGAGAGGCTGTGCTGGCAGCGCACCTGTGGGGGAGGGGTGGGGTTGGCGCACGGGGGTGGGAGCTGGGGAGGGGGAGGGGGAGGGGGAGTGGGGGCAGCAGGGGGAGACGCGGGTGGTTTGGGGGGCGCCAGTATTGGTGGTTCCAGTGGAGCCACGCTGTCTGCTCTGCTTGCCAACCTGCCCGCTGTTACAGCGTGAGTGATTGCATTGCAATCTGAAATTCATGCCAAGCCAAGCCTTGCCAGTGGAGTGGGAGGGGGAGGGGGGACAGCAGGGGGAGGGGTGGGTGGTACTGATGCTTGCCGACCTGCCTGCACTGCTTGCCGACCTGCCAGCAATGCTTGACGACCTGCCTGCACTGCTTGCCAACCCGCCTGCTCTGACAGTGTGAGTGACATCAAGAGCCATCTCTGACACTGCAAGCCTCTTGCTCTCGCATTCCCCGTCCCCTGTCCCTTCCGTTCCTTTCCTCAATGTGTTGAGTTCCTTTTCTGACTGCTATCTGCCGCTTCTATGCCTGCGTCATTCCCCCTCCCTCTCCTCTCTCCCTCTCCCATTTCAGGGCCATCTCGCTCGCTCAGTGCATAAATTCCCTCATCTCAACCACTCTACCGCCACTCTCACGGCTCCCCCTCTTCTCTCCGCCCCCTCCGCCTCCTCCTCCACCCTCCCCTCCATCTCCCTCATTGGGGGAGCGGGGGGAGGAGGTGGGGGGGGAGGATGTGGGGGAGGAGGGATGGGAGGGGTGGGCGCTGGTGCGAAGGCTGGTGCTTTGGGCTCTAGCACCATTGGCAGCAGTACCAGCAGTGTTGCTGCTGCTGCTGCTTCTGGAGGGGAAATGGAGGATGGAGGGGAAATGGAGGATGGAGGAGGGGGAGGGGCAGGGGGAAAGGGAGGGGCAGCAGCAGGAAGGAGCGGCTTAGGGTTTGGAATGCTGGGGCCGATAGGGGCCAGTATGGGCATGTCCCGAACCAAGACCCGCCAAATCAGCCAGCTTGGTTTGGCGCCAGGCTTGGGCGGAGGCTCGGGAGGAGGAGATGTGGGGAGGCAGAGTGGGGGGGTAGGGGGTGGCGTGATGCTCCAGCAGCTAAAAGTGGCTGAGCTGGAGGTTATTAGACTGCTCATCTCAACGTATCTTCCCTTTGGTAAGAATGCATTCCTGTTGTCCTAGCTCGCACATTGAAGGCTTTGAAACGATGTTTGAAACGATGTTTGAGGGCCGGGGTGGTGCTGCCGCAGCCAAAAGCGGCTGAACTGGAGGGGATTAGACTGCTCGTTTCAACGTATCTCACCTTCGATAGGAGATGCATCTTCTGCTGGTTCTGAATACCAATGCCCTTGAGACGAGGGTTTGGATGTGGAAGGGACGGTGTGGGGAGCTATCCAGGGCAATTCTCCATGTAAATCAAACCCCCCGTTTCCTCACTTTCCCTCTCCTTCCACCCCAATCCCTCCTAAAACATGGCCTTGCTTGCTTGCAGGTCGACCTGTCGACTTCCCCACACCTGCCACCATCACCACACTTCACCCAACCAGCTGCCTACTCTCAAGACCTCTCTCCTACCTCCACCCGCCTTCTTCCCCCTCCTCCTCCCTCTATAGTAGCAAGCCCAACAATCAACCTCACCAGCAGCAGCAGCAGCAGCAGCATCAGCAGCAGTAGCAGCAGCAGCAACAGCAGCAGCAGCAGCAGCAGCAGCAGCAGCAGCAGCAGCAGCAGCAGCAGCAGCAGCAGCAGCAGCAGCAGCAGCAGCAGCAGCAGCAGCAGCAGCAGCAGCAGCAGCAGCAGCAGCAAACAGGAAGAGCGGCGGGAGCAGATGCGGCACTTTAGGCATGTCAGTAGACTCTTTAAGAGACTCTTTTAGGCAGCCAGCGAGAAAACCAGTGCTTTACACAGGAATACAGAGGGTAGTTTGTACAACACGGTGGCAGATGTGGTGAATGTATTTGGTAGGGTTACCACACGGTGGGAGGTGGAGGGCCTGCCAGATGTCACGCTCTCATTGGACGTGCCGGAAGATGCATGTGTGGAGTATTTTGTCGTGCATCCATGCACTCAGGTGAATTCCCCTGGTGGTTCTCAGGTTAGGTGAAGTTCCAGGTGACATGTTTGCAGGTAAATTTTCAGGTGTTTCTTTATAGGCGCGTTTGGATTTTCCAACTACCTCTGCTGCTGCTCACCAGCCTTATTTCTCTCTCAAGCGATCCTTCATTGATAGGATCAGAAAGGTTTAAGCATGGCATGAGTAGATACTAGGTAGTTGTCTAGTCTAGAGATGCAAGCAAACATGGCCCTGCAAATATGTGTCGCATGCAGTTACTACCCGTGACATGGTAGACCCGGTACCATCAAGCAAGCCCGCATCGTACGGCCCCTACAGTCTAACCCACACAACTGCCATCCCTGTCCATCCCATGCCGCCCTAATCCCTCATCACCCCCTCCATCTCATCCTCTAGCACCTGCCAGAGGTCCCCCAAGCTAGGCTCCCACGGATCCGCGGGTGCCTGCGGGAAGGCTGCCTCCGCAGCTCGGTTTGACTTGGAGAGGAAAGAAACTTCCTGGCTGCGCTGAAGCATTATGACCACCGCTGTCTGTAGTGTGCCGTGAGCCATGCAGCTGTGGTGGTCAGTTTTCCTTGGCGGTACTTCTTCTTTGCTGCCGAGGTTGCTAGCAACCACAATATTTGCACCGTATCTGCTGCTAGGGCCTCGTATGTCTCAACCGCCAAGAAAAAAAACCCCACATAGTCCGGTCGTCCCTCTAAAAGCCGATGCTTGCTCTCGGATGCCACCCTGGCGGCTTCCGTGCTTTGGTGTTACACCTCTGTAGGACTGGGTCAGTCACGGTGACGTCCGTGACGAAGGTTTCACCCGATTCTTGGTCCTGGATAGCTAAATCCGCTCTCTTGCGCAGCACCTGGAGGGAGAAGGTGGTGGCTTCGTGAAAGGTCGAGAAACCTGCCTCCTTCGCCCTCCTGAGTGCCACATACACTAGTGCATTATGTGTTCTAACCACGTCCCCTCCATCTGCACATCTGATTAGGTGATTTGGGAGCAAAGTGTCGTTGATGTCTGAATTTTGAGCTTGCAGGGGCACTTTACTGTAACCGGCAGCTGCATGCCTAGGCGGAAGCCTAACGCCATCGAGAGCTAACCAGGGGATAATGTAAGGTCAGCCCTCGTTGGCACAGCATGCAGCTAATCCCCCGCCCCTATTCCTTGTAGGCCGATGAGTCTCACTGCGTGCCCATTGTTTTCCCGGCCTATCCATCATTGTGTCAGCTACAAGCTCCCTTGCCCTTGTCTCCCAGATGTGTCTTGATAGTAGCAGTTGCAGGTTACCGCTGCCTGGTGGGCGTTCTCTGAAGGCATGCAGGGCCGCTTGCGCTGTTGCTGGTAGTTCCTCTTCTAGTGCCGTGAGCTGGTTGCTGCTTGGGGGCTTCGAGTTCCATGTGTGAGGTAGCAGCATTGCTGCCTGGCTCAGGAGGTGCTCTTCCTCGATGTTCATCTGCTGTAGCAGTAGTTGCGCCGCCGTGATTGATGCGATGTGTGCCGCCGACGCCTCGGAAGTTGGGTCCACAATGCCTAGCCCCCCCAGCCGCATTGGGATTGTCGCCTGTCGCTAGAGCAGGCTCTGTTCGAGCTCACTCCTCAGCATCCGTAGTTTGGCCGAGGTGAGTGCTGCTTCCAGCAATGTTTCGCTCCATCCCTCCAGCTCTCTCTCCGCAGCACCTCGGGTGGTGTAGTGCGCACCAGATAGGACACCCTCCTGCTGATGCTTCGTGAGATGATGAGCAGGGCGTGTTGAGGGTGCATTTGTGCAACCAAGGGGAGTGGTGCGGGGGCGTCCGTGAGTTTCGCAACAACTTGGTTGGTGAAGAATTCCTCTGTACCAAGGTGGCTGCCCAGCACCTGGATGCCATCTCTGTTCAGCTCTAAACCTTCTGGCAGCGTGCTGTCTTGGGTTTCTGTCCTGTTGGGTGTCCACGCTGAAGACTTCCCCACTTTGCATCTCAACCCACACTTCGCTAGCCCGTGGGTTATGGAATCGAATGCTAAGAATGCCGCCTCTTGTGGGCCTACAATCGTGATATCGTCGGCGTAGGCGACTACCACCACTTCTGGGAGAAGTGTGGCAGCTGTGAGTAGGGTAGGTTGGATTGCCGCGGCGAAGAGTAGTGGGCCCAGTGGGTCTCCTTGTCGCACTCCCCTGGAGCTCTCAATGTGATCTGCTTCGAAACGAGTGTCTACGAGCAGGCATGAGGTGCCGTCATAGAGTGTGCGGGCAAAGGGTATGAGCGACTGCAGGTTTGACTGGGAGAGTGCAGTGAAGAAGGCCGATCGTTCAACACTGTTGAGAGCATTTTTAATATCTAGCTGCAGTGCCAAGCGCGAACTGTCGTCCTTCGGGAGCGATCTGACGGTATGGATAACACATTCTGCACCGCCCGTGACTGGTACCCCGTATTGCACGGGCAAAAAGAATTCCTTGATGTTCGGAGCCAACTCCCGGAGCGCCGCTTTCGCCGCTACTCGGAGTATGGTTTCGCCTATGGCAATTGGTCTTACCCCACCTCCTGGTTTCTCTAGGGCGATGAGGCGCGATGGGAGTAACAGGTCGCGGATATCCTAGGTCTGGTGTGTTCCAAGCAGGCGATTAACTACTTTGGTGAGTAGCATGAGGGCCTGCTCGCTTGTGTGGGCGGGGTCCTTCAAATGTTTGAAACAGGTCTGATGGGCCCGCCCCCACTCCGTTTGGGCATTTCGCTAGGATTTCGCGGAGGTCATCCTGGCTTATGCTGATTGAAGCTGTATTGTACCTAGTAACCACATCGGGGGTTGGTGTTTCCGCGTTGGGGTGTTTCGCTCGTAGTGCTGCGAGTGTATCTAGCGATGTATCTGCCAGTGGTTGTTACTCGTAATGCTGCCACTGCTTTTGAAATGTTTCCTTTCTTTACGAATCCTTCTGCTCTCGCACATAGGCCCATATCATCCTGCTGGTGTCGTAACGGGCCTTTTGTGTCGAGGATGACACACGTTTCGGTGTAGAGTGTTTCCCATCTACCGAGCCTAAATTGATGTAAGCTGTGCTCGATCTCAGCCCACTGACTCCCTTCTACTGGCTCGGGCAATGGTCGTAGGGTCAGCCTAGGCAGATTCAGCAGCGCTTTCCAGCCTCCTGAACAGTCGGGATATTGGGATAGTCTAAGGAGTGGGGTCAGCAGGCATTGGGTGTAGCTCTCCAAAAGCTTAGATGGCAGCCATCGAACCAGGAAGGGCTGGTTGCTTTGCTGTAGCTTCGTTGTATCCACGACGCCACCTGTTGCCATATTCCAGCGTCACTCGCCAGGTCGGATGGTTGACGTATGCTGGGCTCCGGTTGTGGTGCTGGTACCGCCTTATCCACTGGTGCCTCATCCTCCCCCTTTCTCAATCACCCCTCACATGTGGAGGAGGAGGATGAGGGAGCGGGGGTGGATGAGGGAGGGGTTGTGCGCGGTGTGAGGGGTACTGGTTGGGATGACCCGTTTTGACGAGATGCATTCGATTATGCCAAGGTGTGTTTCATAATGTTCCATGCTATGTTGGTGGTGGTTTGCTACACAAATACATATCCACCTGCGATGCCATACGTCATTTATACCATACATGCTATAACGATCATATAATGGGGCCCATGTACTTGGTTTCGTTCTTAGGACATTGGGTTCCATTCTGCATGTTTCTTGTTGCTTATAATATGCATCAGACTACCAACGAAATTGAAGGGTTAAAACTGCAGCAAGCCATGTTGTTTTCTAGAATTGTCACGTGGTTCCTTCTGTTTGTATGCCCTTAGGGTTTACATCAGATCAACATCTTCCCTTTGCCACATCAAACCGTTTCCTATGAGTACTTATGCTGTCGTGCGTTGCTTGTTTATCTGTTTATACCTACTTGTTTCTTTCTGTTTGTATGTTGAACGGGTTCACATCAAATAATCATCTTTCCTAAGCCAGCCAAGACACCCCCACTTGAGATCTCACACCAGGTGAGCGTGTGGGTGAGGCGAGCGTGTGAGTGAGAGTGAACAAAGAGCGAGCAGAGAACATGAGAATCAGAGTGAAGTGCCTTCAGCCTCCATGACTCGTGCTCAGTAAGAGTGCCAACATTCCCAAGCACCCCTCATCCAGCTTATACAAGTCTTTCGTTCTTACATCAGGCCACGCCCCAACTTGTGTCTTGCTGTGTTCCAAACTGCTGTACATCTAGTGACCCTATAGTGTGATGTGTACATAATGGAGGTGTATTCTTGAAAACAACCCTCTTAATGGTGCATTTTCCACCTGGCACTTTCTGATTGGAAGTGTTTGTGTGCAGCCTATGGCAGAGAGAATATTTTATATGAAACAGCCTAGGGAGATGGCCCCAAACCACAGAAAAGCAACTGCTACGAAACGCATCGCCTGCATAAGTGTTGCGCTCATGCTTCACACTATCGAGAACATTGCTAGCAGATGACGACCAATAATTATCGCTTGTTATGTTCGGCATGGCTTGGCTAGTTCAGGCTGAACCATCCGACGTGAACATGGTAGATGTGTCAAACTTATATGCTATAGTCTGTGTAGGCTGTAGTGGGGTTGACAATATAGGGTACAACACTTTTAGGTTTTCCTACTTGTACCCACCTGTTTCCTAGTGCATTCATTCCTCGTTATTCTCACATGGTATAGAGCAGGTTCCCTAGTGGGACCGTTTCTTCCTAAGGGCCCACCATTTTTTTTTTTTTTCCTAACCTGCCCGAAGCGCGCCTCGCGCTCTGACCTGCCCTACCCTTTCGCGGCCCCTTA